CCCCCCCCCCCCCTCTTCCTCATTCCTCCCGTCTGCGCACGAACACCTCCGCAGGTGAACTACATGGCGGCCGAGATGATGTCGGGGGATCTCCCGGTGACTTCGGACGCGGACGCAATGGCCAAGCAGAGGGCGAAGGAGGCCGAGCTGGCCGGGGGGGGCACCATGCTCGCCTCCGGCAGCACCAAGCGGAAAGCGGACCAGGTACTTGCATGCATGTGTGTGGGCCACTCTCTCCCTCCGTGTCTCTGTCTCTGTCTCTCTTGTCGTGCCGTAGCAAGCAGCAGTGGGGGTGCGCTTAAACACCCTCAGCTGCTACTGCTGCCGCTGCTGCTGCTGTTTGAGACGTTTAAGCTGGTACGGCTGGCATTAACTGCATTTTGTCTCTGGGAAGAGATGCGTTAATACGTGGGACAGTAACCATGGTTGGAGGTCCCATTGAGACAGACAAGCCTTCCCATGTCATCGAAAGCGTCGTAAACATGCGGCTGTAGCCTTTTTTGTTGCAGGTGCCATTGAGACAGAAAAGCCGTCCCATGTCTTGTGCGTGTGTTTGGTTGATGAACGGCGGGTGTGCCGTTAACGTCAGCCTGTTGCTTGATGAATGGTACACATCCCGACAAAGACGATGTCGTGAAGCCTGATTGAAAGGCATGTATACGCCTCGATGCCTGGTGAAGGAAATGCATAGGTATGGTGATGACGACACCTGAGCACGACAATGGAATGGGAGAACAAAAGAAAAAAACAAGTTTTTTTTAGCTTTTTGGACTTCCTTTGCGTACAAAAACAAAAACGTTGGCACGTGTCAATCGTTTCGCCTGCCGGTGCCCCGGGTGTGCATGCCGTCACCAGCCCTTCGCCCCAACGCTTCAAGAAAGCACGTGCAACGCTGCCAAAATACCTGGAACTCACGACTAATAATGGATCACTTCGTCGTGAACCTTGTGAACCGACGATACACCAGGGGGGGTCGCGTCAGACCAATATGGAAGCCCTGGAGAGGCAGGCGGACAAGATTCGCGCTGCCAAGGCGCAGAGTGCGGCGGGAGCGGCGGGCAGCGCGGTGGAGGCGAACCCCGAAGAGATCGACCTCGATATGGACATGGAAGATGGGGGGGTGAGTGTGTCTGCAGNGGGGGGGGGGGGGTTACTCTCATGTTTTGTATGCCTTGGCGGTTAGACCATTGACTACGCGTCGTCGAGAGGACGGGGGAGTGTACTCATGGCCACGCATGCCGTAGTCGTTTAACCGTTGACCACGCATGCTCGAGAGCGCGGGGGGGTGGGTGTAGACATGTCCACGCAAGCCGTAGTCCTTAGGCCATTCACCTCCCATCCTTTCAATGCTGTCGTGGCTCCGATATATAGGGGGGTACCTTACATGAGGGGTCTCCGGTAGAAGAGGATCGAAATCGGCTGTCACGGACTCGACCCTCTATGTAGTATAATTGAGTACCCTCTTATTCTGGTATGAGAGGGGGCTCCGATCTAAGAGGGTCGAGGGCCTTTTAACAACACCCTCCCTCTTCTAGCGGAGCCACGGCTGTGCCGGGACGGAGCGATGTGCCGGGTTTTTGCCGGCCCAGGTTACACGGGGGGGGG